ATCATCAATTATACATACTAATTACCTATATAGATCGAATATATATTTGCTTTCGGTACCAAAAATAAGCGGTTGTGGTAAAATAAATTTATTTTAAAATATTTGATTTTTAAGGGAAAAAAAGAATTTTATTAATTAAAAAAATACTTATGGAAAATAGTCATATGATTAAATTTATTCTTATTAATACACAAAAACTTTTAATAAAACAAATATAGCATGGATCTAAAAATAGTAGTAGTGAATTAACTGTGAGTATTTTTTAAACCTTATATAAAAATCACATGTTATGCAATTAATGATATACAATATATTTTTAGTTACCTACAATCTACATCAATTAGACACAAAGTTTCAATCTAATTTAATACATTTCCGTCTTGTTTAGAAAAATTGATGACCTCTTCCTCTTCTATTTTTTTTAGTTTGAGTTTTTTTTAATAAACTATCTGATATTTGGAACTTACTAATTCAACTGCGATCATTAAAGAAGAAGATGCTCCATATGGAAGGAATTTCCGTCTCCGAAACACATGATTAAGAGTCAAGAAAACTCATCACATCCTATGCTCTCGTTTGGCCATAAAATTTGGTAGTTCTTTTTTCAAAGTTTATTTTTAAATATCTGTTTATTTATATATTTTAACTATTTTTTGGCAGATGTTGAAAATAAAATCTTTAAATCCCAAAAACAGCTCTAAAGTAGTTTTTGAAATATTTGAAGTTTTCTACTCATAAAATTTTCAATTCTTTTCAAGTAAAATACATATCCAGATACAATTTTAACTTTTAAAAATTATTTTTGTTTTATCAAACTTTTAAAATTTTTTTTTTTAAAATTTCAATCAAATTTATATCCAAACGCTAACTAAGTAATTGTTTTCTTCTTAGTTAGCGTGGATTCATTCTCACCTAAGGAAAGAAGCGAGAAAAAGGAAAAAAAAAAAAAAAAAGAGAAAAAAAGGAGAGGCAAAAAGCATAAACCCTAGACAAGCCTCCCGTCTCTATTTATTTGCCACGTGTCATCAGCCACAAACTCCATAGATTTCTCCTTATTACCGAACCCCATTCCTCCATCTTCTTCTTCACTCTCTATCTCTCTGTTTTCCTCTCTTCTTCTCTAAACTCTCACAAAATTTACAGAGCAAAAATGAAACAAAACACGTGTCAAAAACAGTGCGTTTTGCTCAATACATATAACGAAGATGAAATACAAGTAGCCAATATTCTACTCGATCTTCCCAATCTTTTCACACAAAATCAATCTCCTTCTCAATTTTCTTATTCATTTAATTGGGGTACAAAAAAGAGGAGATCTAATAGAAACGGTACTGATTTTTCATCTCGTGTTAACTCATCTTCTCTACAAGGAAGTTCAAACGAAATTGAAACCACCAAAATTAAGGCTGAAGTTAATAGCCCTGCTACTCCTCTCTCTTTTTCCCCCAGTGAATCTGATGATAAATCCAAACATTCTTCTCGCAAAATCTCTAAGCGAAAGGTACTATTATTTTTAATTGATTTTCAGCACTATTTTTCTGCGTTTATATTATTCATTGAATTTTTTGAAATTTGGTTTATGTTATTGACTTGTTTTGATGCCGTCTCCCCTGTTTCGGATAATCTTTTTAAAAAAACAAAAAATTCATGGAGGGTGGGTTATTTTTTAAATAATCTTTACACAAATAGCCATATATATTAATTATATATAATTATACACATATAATGCATAAATTTTACCGGTTATTTTTAGTTCAAGTGGTTGGGTCAGCAGCTATTTGGCTTAATTTTTCAAAATTTAAACCATGTTGCGACTGAATTTCTCTAAATTTTATGTTTATGATTTTGTTTTAAATTGCTGTTGCTTGGTTTGTAGACGAGGGAGGAGTTAATGGATATGATAAAACAATTATCTCAATGCAGAGAATCGCTTAAAGGGGTAAGTTTGTAATTTCGTTAACAAAAATTGAGTCTTTTTTTTTCTTTTCTTAAATTATCTTCTGCCCTTTATTTTTCCAGTTTTCTCAAACTGTTTTATTTATTCTTTATTTTTTATACGGAATTTGACAGGAAGTGGAGAATGTTCGGAATTACTACAATAGCCAAAAAGCTTATAATCTGAAGTTGAAAGCAATGAAAGAACAGGTAAAAATCTCCCATCTTTATTTTTAGGCTTCACCATAAAAATCCATATCTATTTTTGGTAAAAATATTTTCCTCTCACTTATTTGAGAGGTGGGCCCACATAATTTTATTCACAAGTTGATCATTTCCAATTTCCTCGAGTAGCCTAAAACTTTATCTGCTCAATGTGTTATGATTAATTAATTTATTAATTAAGATAAAAATAGTACATTAATTAACTGCGACGTGAAATACATGTAGGTTACTCTGAAAATATGAATTCTTTTTTCATGGTTAAGTGATGCATTTACACGTGAATTTATAAATGTTAAAATTAAATTACTTGGTTTAATAATTACGAGTGCAAATTAGTGTTTGTCGTATAAGCATCAGGTGTGAATAAGTTATTTACCGCTTAACTTAGTAAGTTTGAGGCATGTATACTCCTTTGCTCTTATTAATTTGTCAAAAAAAATAGGGTATTATTACTTTAGCGCGCCCCATAAACTATTTATATTCGATTGTCGAAATAATGTATAAAATTTGTATAATTTTTTTATATAACATACTGAATATATATATCGGAAATATATATATATTTTCGGCTATTATTTTAAAAGCAGCTATACAATGTCGTTTACTAAAAAAAAGTTGATTATTTTGCTAATTATAGGTAACAAGAATGTTGAATATCCAAGGACCAGGTGTTAATTTAGGTCAAATTTGCAACAAACCTGAAATGGAGCTCAATCATCAACAGCCGTTCATTTTGGATCAGATTGCTTTTGGAGGATCAGAAACATTCCATAGATTTCAGTACCCATTGGGCCAACTGCAACAGCCCCAGCCCATATTCTCATCTAATACTGGATTGGGCTTTGTGAATCATATGGGCCCAGGCCCAATAGGTATTCCGGATCTAAATGTTACTGTGGATGAGCCCACACCTTTTGATCTTGAGAGAATGAATGTTGAAAGAAAGGCCCAATTTGCTGCAGCTAGGAGGAGGAGAATAAATAGAAGAATAGAAATTAAGAATGCCTCTGGTTTTATTAGACCACAAAGAAGAAGATAGTGGTAATATTGTCTTTCTTAAATTCCTTTTTAACTATAGAGTTATATGATTTTTTTTGTCAGTGGTAAAATGGCCAATTGAGCAAAGCTCTTTTTTTATTGGCCATGTTGCTAAGTGAAACTGTATCGTATATTAGTTAAAGAAGTTGGTGAGCTAATATGATTTTTATACTTTTCCTATATATTCAATCTCAAATGAGTAATATATAAGCAAAATATTTTCCTGAATTTAGGTGGGGTTAGCAGGAAAATATTTAAATGTACATTGCAAAGTCTTACTTTATACAAAGTGCATATGGGAGTAGATTAAGTCCTAAGTGGACAAACTAAATTCTTATTTATGTGATATTATGGTTCGGATTGTGATCTTTTAGCAATTGGATTATTGTTACATGACCTTTTGGTAATTTTTTATGCTTAAAATGTGCAACTTTTTTCTAAACCAAAAACCTTGAGATCAATGAAGAGAAAAATGATTTGTCTTTGGGTTGAGACTGTCGTCACTTTGATTTATTTTCTTCCGTCTTATGTAGTTGGATATTATCAGGGCCGTGGTGAGATAAATAGGATCTTTGCATAATTAATCAGAGATCTCGAATTTGAACCCTAGAATATTAAATCTGAGTAGAGGTGCTTTCTCCTTGAATGAGCTTTACACAATATGAATCCAAATTAATATGTGAACCATAGACAAAACAACACCACCAAAACCATCTAGCTTTATTTGATCGGAAGCCCTCTCCAGGGATTTGTATTTGTGTGTAAATCTGGCTTTGCTATGCGAATTTTTTTTAATTCCATTTATTCAATGATTATGTTGTGTTGTGTTGTGTTTTCTGTTAAAGTTTGATTAAAAATGAAAGAAGGGTGTGCAAATGACGACAATACTATTCAGGATATGAGAAGCCGAGCGATGTTTTTTCCTTCTACTTCACGACTCTGATGCATATGGCCCTTCCTTTATTTTATTTTTTCTCTTTTATCTTTGCTTATTTTTACAAAAGATAATTTACACAACTCGAGGTGAAATATTACTTCTTCCTTTTTTCCAAATTTAGCTTTCGGCTTCTGCTTTCTTTATTGATGAATTTAAAGCGCACCTGCGGTATAAAGTTATCTATTGAAAATTATTAAGAGGGAATTACGAAATCCAAGTTTATATACAAGTTTTGTTAAATCTACGGATCATTAAATTGCAAATAATTATTTGCAAGAGGGTACTGTTAAATCTACGGATCATTAAATTGCAAATAATTATTTGCAAGAGGGTACAGAGAATATGATTTATATTTTGAACGTTGGGTAATATTAGGTGATTTCCGGGAGATTTTATGATATCTTTGACCAGAGGGAACTTACGGACTATGTCTTTAGTTTAAGCATTATTAATTAATTAAACTAATTATAAATATTAGAGTGGTTGCAGGCCAAAAAAAAAATGCTACAAAATGTATTTGTGATTTTAGAAATGCCCGTGGTTCTTTTGTTGACTGTTACACTCTAATAAAAAAGGAGAAAACATATGTATCAGACTATCACTAGTCAATCACTCTATCCCAAATAAAAATAAAATTCTAGTTGGTTGACAATAAGATTCTTACAGAAAATTCTGAACGTTTAGGTTGCAAGAATTTTTGGTGATAATTTAAAATATAAAGTTTGCCAAAGATAGTTTAATTCTGTTCTCGAAATAGACTCAAAAACTCCAAAAGAGATAACGAAAAGATGAATCAAATAGAAGTAACAATAAACGTTATAAAATCATATACTATGAAGAATATTTTTCTATCCAGAGATACATTTATATAATAATAGGAGTATAATGCTGTTAAAAGTTATCCCAACTGAGTGACAGAAACAGCGAGATAACTGCAAAACACCATCACCCTTTACTCTTTAAGAAGCTACTGTAATACAGTAGCTCATATTCAGACCATTAAGAAACATTTCAATATTCAATTCTCACCAAATCAAAACAGAAAGTTCAAGTGAAAAGGAGACAATAGAAACAATAACAAGTCCACTTGGCAGAAACTTAACAAAAGCAGCAATATTGAATTTAGAAATGTTTTTAAGATTCATAATGCTCCTCAGCGCCCTCCTCTTCATACTCTTCCTCATCATCTGCTGTAGCATCCTGGTATTGTTGATATTCTGCAACCAAATCATTCATGTTACTCTCGGCTTCAGTGAACTCCATTTCATCCATACCTTCACCTGTGTACCAATGCAAAAAGGCCTTGCGCCTGAACATAGCTGTGAACTGCTCACTCACTCTCCTAAACATCTCCTGAATGGAGGTTGAATTGCCAACAAATGTGGATGCCATCTTCAGCCCAGTTGGTGGGATATCACATACACTAGACTTCACATTGTTAGGGATCCATTCAACAAAGTAGGACGAGTTCTTGTTCTGCACATTGATCATTTGTTCGTCCACTTCCTTTGTGCTCATCTTTCCCCTAAACATGGCAGAAGCTGTCAGGTAGCGTCCATGACGGGGATCTGCAGCACACATCATATTCTTGGCATCCCACATTTGTTGAGTAAGCTCTGGCACTGTGAGGGAAATGTATTGCTGCGATCCGCGAGAGGTCAATGGTGCAAAGCCCACCATGAAGAAATGAAGACGTGGGAAGGGAATTAAATTCACAGCCAACTTTCTCAGGTCTGAGTTCAGCTGACCAGGGAATCTCAAACAGCAGGTAACACCACTCATGGTTGCAGAGATCAAATGGTTCAAGTCACCAACTGCAAGAGAAAGAGGCAAAAATTTGTTACATTTGCTTACTTAGCTTGCAGATCGTATTGTTTGTAAACACCAAGGAGAAATACTTACAACTTGGAGTAGTGAGCTTCAAAGTCCTGAAACAAATATCATATAAGGCTTCATTATCAAGGACCATGCATTCGTCAGCATTCTCCACCAGTTGATGCACAGACAGTGTAGCGTTGTATGGTTCTACAACGGTGTCAGACACCTTTGGAGATGGGAAAACAGAGAATGTGAGCATCATTCTGTCTGGATACTCCTCCCTTATCTTGGAAATCAATAGAGTTCCCATGCCAGATCCAGTCCCTCCACCAAGTGAGTGACAAACCTGGAATCCTGATCCATAAAACAAAGAATATATAACAATCAATAGTCGATAATCAACTAACCCTGAGTCAGCAAGCAATAATAATTATCTAAAGAGGATCACCAAATTGATAGATCGGACAAATATAGAAAAAAAGAATCAACAGATTAAGCAGAGCATAGAATAAGTTATTTGATAAAGGAAATTGACAAATGTTGCCACCAGTCAGATACAGATACAAAATAAGTTTCATTTCTCCAGCATCAACTCTAAGAGAGTATGACTAGTGAGATGCATACAAAAAAGTAAAATGGAATACAAACAGAACTAGGTTATAATGTTTTATCCTTCTGCTATTCTAAAGAATTGCATGCCTTCATTTGTGTGATCTATGAGAACTAGGCTCCGGTATGAACATTAGAATATAAGCATATGAATTAGCATTATCACTACCTTGTATTCAGCTAGTCGTTAAGATAAAATATAGCCAACTGTACAATTATAGACACATTCATAGACAATATAAGCAAGCACTCGGAATCAAAACAAAAAGAGATCAAATACAGCCACATTCATAGAAACAATAAGGATGCGATTCATGAATGAAACAGGAAAAAGGAATCAAATGAAGGCACTGTCAACTGTAAGCACATCCATCGGACCAATGAGCATGTGATTTGGAATGAACAAGTGAAATAGATCAAATATCGGCGCTGTTAAATATAAGCACATACATCAGAACAATGAAGACGCGATTTGGAATGAAAAAGTGAAACAGATTCAGTATAGGCACTATAAGCACATTCAATAGAAACAATGAGCACGAGATTGGAAATGGAAACGAAAACATATCAAATATAAGCACTATCAAAACCATAGGCAGTAGGCAGATCCATAGACGCAATGAGAATTCGATTAGAAATGAAACAGAAAAAAGCATATAAAGAAGGAAGCGAAAATAAACCTTGCAAGCAATCACAATTCTCAGCCTCTTTACGAACAACATCGAGAACAGCATCAATCAACTCCGCTCCTTCAGTATAATGACCTTTAGCCCAATTATTACCAGCACCGGACTGACCAAAAACGAAGTTATCAGGTCGAAAGATCTGTCCGTACGGACCAGATCTGATACTATCCATAGTACCAGGCTCCAGATCCATAAGAACAGCCCTAGGAACATAACGACCACCAGAAGCTTCGTTAAAATACACATTAATACGTTCAAGTTGAAGATCTGACTCAGCGGCGGTGCCTTTGTAACGGCCGGTAGGATCAACGCCGTGCTCGTCACAGATAACTTCCCAGAATTTGGAACCGATTTGGTTACCGCATTGGCCGCCTTGAATGTGTAAGATTTCTCTCATTTTCTCTCTTTTTTGGAGGAATTTGAAAAATTGAAATGGAAAATGGAATTAGGGTAAGAGAGAAAGAGAAAGTGTGTGAATTTAGAGGGGTGGGGATTTGAGATATTTCTAGTGGTGAGTTTATTGTGGTGACAGGCGGGAATACATACACACGATATAACTGCTGGACCCTTGTTGCAGGGTGAATATGGGTCCCACATTGATCGCCGATTTTTTTGCCCTCCATCATTTCTTTGTTTCTTTTTGTTAGCTAGTTAGCGGTGAATACGAAATAGTAATTAAAATTTATACGCATTACACACGATTACAGTTTTTTGAATTATATCATTGAGATTATTCTTTACTACAAGTATGTTAGAAATATAATTAAGCAAATGAAGTAATACTTTGTTTGACAGTTTAAGGCCTCATTTGTTTGCGCTTAATGCAGGTCTGAATCTTAATCATTCAGATCTTAGATATTAAATGCGTTTGTTTTTTAAGTCTGAATCTTAATTATTCAGATCTTAATCATTAAGTGTGTTTGTTTTTTTTAATTCATAACCACTTAATGGGTCTGAATAGGTCTGTATGATTAAGATCTATAACAGAGACTTAATTTCATTAAGATGCTATCACATATTCATTATTAACTGCCGTCACCGCCTACCATTATCAACTACCACCATGCCACCACCACCACTATACTCAACCACCACACCACCATCATACTCAACCACCAACACCACCACCATGCTACTATCATCCTCAATCATAGCCGCTACCATTATCGACCATCACCATCCACCATCGCTACCACTCCGACCAGCATCATTCTCACCCACAGTCAACAGTTATCCACCTCAACTACCACAACCAACCACCCCATCACCATTAACAACCACAGCCGGCACCGCCCATCATTATAACCTACCACCACTTCCTCAATCACAAACCACCACCCGCCATTATTAACTATCATCACATACCACCACCATCCTCAATCATAATCGACACCACTACCAATCACTACTAGCTACTAGCATGAACCACTATCATCAACCAAAACTACCACCGCCTCTAGTCGGTATTCACCCGTTAGCCATCACTACCAACGACTATCATAATTTAAAAAATTATATATTTTATTGATAGAATATTAGATTAATTAGTATTTCATTTGAATTTTATATTTATTATTTTTCAAACTTATTCTTATGTGTCCTCTTATTTTGCCCCGTATTTGGGCGTATCTCGGGATTCTTTGAGTTTTCCTGTTTATGTTTCCACTCCTGTTGGAGATTCTCTTGTTGTGGACCGTGTTTATATGTTTGATTGCTCTTAGTGGTTTTGAGACCAGAGCCGATTTGTTATTGCTCAGCATGGTAGACTTTGATGTTATTCTGGGCATGGACTGGTTATGCATTCAGATGTTAAAAATCAAACAGTCTTAACTTTTAGTATTCAGATCTTAATACACATCTTAATATATTCAGATGTGTATTCGGATTCAGATGTCTTAATCTTAATACACATCTTGATATTCAGATGTGTATTCAGATTCAGACGTCTTAATCTTAAAAAAACAAATGAGGCCTAAGTTTTAGATGCGATAGTAACACAATTTAATATGTTATAATATAGAGACGGATCTATTCTAGAAAATAGTCATTTTAACATGTTATTATAAGGTGAATCTAGAAACTCTAGAATATCGGTGCACCACTAGAGCGAGAAAAAAAGGATTAAGTTGGAATTGATTTTTGATTCTTTGGGTAAATAACTCAATGTTTAACCAAATGCACCATCTAGCATTTAGAAGAATAGGGGTTAGCTGATAATGTTAGATCGATTTTAGGAGATAACATTAAGTACCTAATTTGATGGAAAAATCATGAGTTCATGTGCACCTTCAATAAGCTACACAAAAAATACGCGTCCTTGGTCCATAAAAGAGTAAATTGTGTCGCACCTGGAGCGTAAAGAAATGTATCATCTCTAATACAATTAATTTCTAGATGAAACAATATAACTTGCTCACTTCTCACACATATTAGTAGGGGTGTTCATAAAAACCCGAAAAATCGGACCAAACCGAAAATCAAACCAAACCGACCAAGAAAATCGATACTTTTTGGTTTGATTTGATTTTGGTTTTGAATTTAAAAAACCGATCAAATTTGGTTTGGTTTTGGTTTTAATAAAAAAATAACCTAAAAAAACCGAACCAAACCGACTATAGGAGTAGCTATTTCAAATTTATTATTACACCTATATATATTTATATTTTTATACAAAGTTTCAAAAATTTTATGGTGAATGTTAATCGTTTGCACTTTTAGTACAATTTTTTACCTTTATATTCTAGTTTGATTGGTAGTTTTCTTTTGGTAAGTGTAAGAATCCATTTCATGTTAAAAAAAAGTATATTTTTAATTGAGTCCTTAAATTATTCATCACTATTTGATTAAATTATCATCAATATATTTTAATAAATAATAGATTTCTCAAAGGGCAATTGATTTGATAGTGTTACGTTGAAAATATGGTCGCCGGAATATGTGTTTGGTAGTGTATGTCTTATATTTAAGAAAAAACCGACAAATAACCGAAAAAACCGAAAAACCGACAAAACCCGACATAAACCGAATCGAGAAAAAACCGACTTAATTGGTTTGGTTTGGTTCTAATATTTAAAAAACTGACTTACTTGATTTAGTTCTTTTTAGGGGAAAACCGATCCAAACCGAACCATGAACACCCGTACATACTAGTAAGGCTTGAATTGGGTCAAGTCTTCTACTCGATTGATTTGTTTTTATTAGTATAATTGTCGGCAAGAAAAACGGATTTATATATTCTTTATCATCACTCTTATGTTGTTTCTGCTTCGTTATGTTACTATCTTGCTGTTGTTAGTGACTTCTTCACTACTATATTTCCTTTCTTTATTGTTGTGTTTTTGCTTGCCTTGAGCTGATGGACTATTAGAAATAACGTCTCTACCTATACAAGGTAGAGATAAAGTATGTGTACATACTGCCTTTTTCAATTCCATTTGTAAATTTTCACTGAATATGTTTATTATTCTTGTCGTCATTATTGTTCTTACAAAAAACATACTTTAGAAATTTTTTTGGTTGGATCCTTTAGAAGTTTACAGTAAGTAGTTCCTTTCTAGTCTTGTCAAAAGTGGATAAAAAGTATTCAAGAATATTTTGTATTTAAGGTGAGACAATAAGAGTGAAAGTAGAGCAATTTGGAAACTTAAGCAATCATTTGGATCTAAAAACTCAATTATTGTCATTTCATTACTGTGGAGCTCCATTATATACTTCACGTGGCTCTGTTTTCTTTTTCTTTTTATTTATTATTATTATTATTATTATTATTATTATTATTATTTTCACGGGGCAGACCCAACGGCCCATGCCATAAACCCTACAGCCAGTGAGGTTCTGCAATTTTTTGCGGTGTTGACAGCTACGTGTTTTTTGTCTCAATTGCGCTATAAGGTGTGTCTACTTGCATTTTTCTAGTAACCTATCGGGATCACCATCTATAGTATTTTCACTATGTTTATATGGGGACAACAAAGTTGAGATCTGAACTATAGAATAATTTTGGGCTTGATCTCAACCACATAAGACAGATCTAAATCGAGCTCTGAGATATTAACTTGCTTTCAACACGAAATTATGCATAAATACTTTTAAAAAATATTAGAATACTATAATAAAATCATAAGTATGTTGAGCCACTAACTCTAAATTCTAGATCATATTTATTACGCCATGGCTGGCCAATTCTTTTCCACATTGTTGTTGCTACTGTTTGTTATACCCACCATATTTATTACTCATTTCAAATCATTTTCTCAAATCCAATAAAATATGCATCTATTAATATGGTATCATGGTAAATTATGCACTTCATTTATTATTTCTTAAAGGGCGTGAAAAGTCAAAACGTGCCAAGTAAAAGTGAATGGAGGGGGTACTTTATTTCACTCTTCCTAGAGCCGAGGGTCTATCGAAAATTGTCTCTCTACCTTCACATGGTAGGAGTAAGGTATGCATACACATTACCCTACTTGTGGGATTACAGTGGGTTTATTGTTGTTGTTGCTGGTGGCCAAAAAATTCCAATTTACCTATTTCCTTGTCCTTAATCACGGACTAATGATGTTTAACGATCTATTAAATACACCAAAATATGTAATAAAACAGTTTCTATTTGTCACCTTTTGATATTGTTCAAAGAATCTTCTCGGGAATGGAACTAGTAGTTATTCTACAAAAGGTCCAAAAAGTTTCAAATCAGTTCTAACTAGACTTGGTTTAGAAGGAGAAGGGTATGAATCTCACACAAAACTTTCTTGGTATGCTATTATCATAAGCTCCTTTAATTACACAAAATATTAGAATCACAAAAATTGTTCTCGACTTAGAAAAGCACGGGATAGAGCATGCAAAATTAGGAAGCTGTTTGGTTTTTGTAAGGTTCTAACTTCTACACATCTAGAAACATTACATTACAAACATCCACAGTCTAAAGACTTGGAATACAGAAACATCACCAAAATATAAAACAAATGAACTCTTGTAAGAGCTGCTTTCATCGGTTCTGAAGCATGGTTTCATTGCAGTATTTCTTGAAATTCAAGCATTCTTCAACAAGGAAATCGCTACAAAATTGATTACAACAAGTGGTATTAGCGACCAAAATAGCAAACCTTCCCGATTATACAAGCAATAACAAGTGGGAACTTACAAGATCCGCTCAGCCATATCTGATATTTCCCATCTGGGACTCCATGGATATTCAGTAATCACCGGAGACTTGATGGGCAGAGCTTGAGAATTGAAGTGCTATACAAACATGCCGGTGCACAACACATGCATAGAGACGAGCCGTGAGTCAATTGACAGCACCATCAGAACATTTTAGGCAAAGTAAGCACACAAAAATGAGAAGGCCGGCAAAAGCTGAGAAGTTATGCTCCTTGTTTTATCACGGATGTGTGGGCGAGATTGGGAGCATAAGCACTTATCTTTTCACAAAAAGGGGTATGTGACTGGGAATATTATAGGCTCATGAAAGGCAATACTTAGAGATGCTTAAGTATTGCAAACTACCAAACTAAAATATTTGAGGTC